ATGCGACGCCGAGAGGGTCAAGGGGGCCACAGGCCAAGTGAGGACCCGCACCCGGGGAGGACGGTGCGTGGGACGCGAGAAGACACAAGAGAAGGAAGATGCCAGGAGGTAGAAAAATGGCAAGAGTGTCAACGGGACCGCCGGCGGAACATGTACCGGCAGGACATAGTGTCATGGACCACACGGGACTAGGCAAAAATGTGGTACCGGTGGGACAAAGTGTCGGGGACCATACAGGACTAGGCAAAAATGTGGTACCGGTGGGACAAAGTGTCGGAGACTACATGAGACTAGGTGAAAATGTGTTACCGGTGGGACAAAGTGTCAGAGACCACATGGGACTAGGCGAAAATGTGGTACCGGCGAAACTAGTGTCGGGAATTAATGCGGAACAAGTGGCGGGGACTTGTGATGTCCCAAGGAAAAATTGTGACGCGATATGTGGTGCAAAAAAAAAAAATAATGAAACAAGTTGCACCGTCAAGGTCGGAGATCTTGACGACAAAAAATAATAGCACCACTAGTGCAAGCACTAGTGGGAGCAAGAGAAAAGGTCAAAAGAAAAATAAAACGTAAGGAAAACGAGTGTTAGAGGCATGGGAGCAATCCGAAAAATCTCGGATTGGCCTCCCCAAAGAAAATGGAGCCCGTAAGGACTCCATAAGAAAAATAGGCCTCCCGGAGAAAATCGGTGCATAGGGGCGTACCGTTTGGAAGAGAGGGGGGCAAACGGTGGCTCCGAAGGGCATGGAATGGCCATAACTGCAGTCCGGGAAATAACAGACTGGCCCTTGGGCATATAAAGGGCCAAAACTAAGAGGAAGAGGTAAGAAAAGGGCCTTAACGGCTAGTTGACACTTGGCATGCAAAAAGAAAAAGAAAAAGAAAAAGAAAATGTGCGAGAATGAGACAAGGAGAGTGAGAGGGAGTGAGTGAGTTGGCCGTAAGTAGGGACTGCAGCAAGTAGGGACTGCCAAGTCCCAACTGTCCAAGGAAGGAGGAAAAGAAAAAGAAAAGAAAAGAAAAATGAGAATAGGGTCTTAACGGCTAGTTAACACTTGACATGCTAAAAGAAAAAGAAAAGAAAAAGAAAATAGGAGGTGAGAGTGGATAGTGAGTTGGCCGTCAGTTGGAACTGCAGCAAGTAGGGACTGCCAAGTCCCAACTGTCAACATGTGGAGGAAAAAAAAAAAAAAAAAAAAAAAAAAAAAAAGTCAAAAGGGTACTAACGTACGAAAACGGCCACCTAGGGAGGGCATTTTGGACCATGTTCATTTTGGGCATATGGCGGTTACAAAGGACTTTCATTTTCTTTGATTTATGTAGGGAAAATCAAAGAAAAGCAAAGCCCCTTGCAACCAAAAAATAACGGATCACCTAGGGGAGGCTAAACGCATGTTTTAGGTACACCGGAAACCAAAATGGAGACCGGATGCACTTGAGAGTTGGTCGTTTCTTTTTCTTTTAGTTGAGGGTTAGTTGTGGGGCATTAGGATAATGAAAACAGCCCCTACTACAGTCCGAGTTACAACGGTCTGCATATGGAGGGGCAAACACAAGTTTTTGGTTCTCCGGGAGCCAAAATTGAGCCCGGATGCCTTTGGAAAATTAATGCTTCATTTTCCTTGGGCATGACGCATGACGTGGGGCTGTGGGACTAGAACGTTGGTTGTGGCTGCAGTCCGAGAAATAACGGACTGCATAGGGATGCCTAGGCCAAAGGGAACTGAGCCACGGCACGCCCAAAAGACTAGAAAACTGTGTCGTAGACATAGGGGAGCATAACGGTAAATGATAACGGCAAGGCGGGGGTTCCGCGACCGAGAATATAAACGGCACACTTGAGGTACATGGTAACAATGAAATGGGGCCGCCGGGGACATGGGAAGTCCCAAATAAAAATTGGGCATCAACCAGGATGACGCCGGGGACTAAATGGGGTCAAATAAAAATTGTCGAAAAATCGAGCCTTGTCGACGGCACCGCCAGCGGGACAAAAAAATAGAACTAGTATGGGGGAATGGCGGGGACTTGAGGTGTCCCAAGGGGAAACCATTAGCCAATGTAGGGAGTGGCCGTGCAAGGCAAACGGCACCGCCGAGATCGACGATCTCGACGGTGAAAAATACTAGCACCATTGGGGCTTAAACGGGTGAAACGGGAGTGAAAAACAAAGAACAACAGATGATGGGAGGGCTGCCCAGCAGTCCGAAATATCTCGGACTAGCTAGGCATGAAAAAATGAGAGTCCAAGGGGCTCCAAGCAAGAAATGGGCTAGCCATGAAAAATCGGAGCCAAAGATGTTCAAAATGGATGCTAACGGGAGGAAAATAAGCCCCCTAGGAGCATGGGCATGCCAACTTGTTAGGCCGGGATGCAACGGCCAACAGCCGGCCATGAATCTGGCCATGAACAAGGTTCTAAGGCCTAGAAAGAGAGAGAACAGCAGTTTGACACTTGCCATAGCAAGGATAAAAGAAAAAGAAAAGAAAAAGGGGAGAAAATGGAGGGAGAATGAGACAAAAGGGGAGAAATGGGTGGAGGAAAATGTGCCGGCTCATTGGGACTGCTGCAGTAGGGACTGCCAGGTCCCAATGATGACCTCACCCCTCCTAGATCCAAGGCCCATGCACAACCAATTACACTAGTCCTTTCTGTTCTGGACAGTTTGCCAGGCCCCCTTTTCTCAGGCCCATGCAAAGCCGATTGCACAAGTCTTTTCTGTTCTGGGCATTTTGCCATGCCCCCTTTCCTCATGCCCATGCAAAGCCAATTGTACAAGTCTTTTCCATGCGTTTTTCATTGGTAGATGGCACACCTTCCCCCCACTCAAAACGCAATGTCCCCATCGCGCGACTGGTTCTCACTCGGAGGTACGCAGACCTTTGGTCCGCCGACCGCAGTCAAGGACACAAGCCCATCCGAAGGGTGATCAGTTCCTCCCCAACGGGTGACGCCTCATCCTCCTACTCGATCTGAATTTTTTCTATTGCGTGGCGAGCACCAATACTGAGGTTCTTCCTCATATCTAGCAGTCAGGTCCAGTCCAAACCTCCCAGGGCCTCGTTTAGCCGTAGGAGCTTTGCTCGCGAATCGTTCCTCCCGAGTGGTAGTTTTCTGGATCCGGCCTCTTCCTTTCAAGAGAGTTCGGACTCTCTATTAGTTCGTGAGTGCAGTTACGAAGACCTCGCAATTAGTCCCGAAACGGTTGTAATGTTCCGGCAGGGCAGTGTCAATGCCCCGTGGTGGTGGCGGCCTCCACCCGGTACCTCGCCTGGCTCCTCCTCTTGGACGGTGCTTCCGGGCAACCAAGGTCCGACCCAAACAGCCATGTCACCCCTCTATGGTATGGCGTGTGGTTGGAGAGTAACAAAATAGACTAGAATAATAATGACTCTCTCGCCCATTTGGTTCTCTCACCCTTTGACGTTTAGACTCTCATCACGAGGCGCAATTTGAACTCCCCGACTAGAGATCATTGTCGGGGTCAGTTCCGGACGTCCCACACCGATCCAAGTGGTAGGTGCCTTGGTCCTTTAACCCTCATCCCCTTGTAAGAGGAACAGGTCGCGTTAAGACTTTTCCCTTTAAGGGATAGAGGTCTTGGGGTCGCGGTGCAAGCACCGGTATCCCCCTCTTGCTGAGGCCAAGGACTAGAAGAAAAGAGAAATCCATTTCAATGATATTTCCATGTCCATTTCAAGTTGCCTAGGGTCTCCTGTTTATGCAATGCAATTTCCAGTGCTCATTCCAATTCCAATGCTCAATCCAATTCCAATGCTCAAGCCCATCCCAAAGCTCAATCCAATTTCAATGCTCAGTCCAATTTCAATGCTCAGTCCAATTCCAAGGCTCAATCCAATTCCAAGGCTCAGTTCAATTCCAATGCTCAGTCCAATTCCAAGGCTCAATCCAGTATCTCTTCCTAGGCTGAATCCAATATCTTTTTCAAGGCCGAGTCCTATATCCTTTCCAAGGCTGAGTCCAATATCCTTGCCAAAAACTCAGCTCTTCTCAATCTCATCCATCTCAGACAATCATGCAAGGGGACCCCAGTGCCAATTCCAAAGAATGACCCTTGTCAGGGATCATTCTGAACAACCTGGTTATGGTCGTTCTTATCCATTTCCTTCGGAGAGCCTGGTTAGGGCCATCCTTATCCATTTCCATCGGACAGCCTTGTTAGGGTCATCCTTATCCATTTCCATCGGACAGCCTGGTTAGGTCCATCCTTATCCATTTCCATTGTTAGCGCCCGAGGGGGTGGGCCTAGAGGACACGGATCCTATCTCTGTCTCGAAGGTTAGAAGGTGACCATCTCTTGGGTTTTACGCATGCTTTTGTCTTTTGTCTCGTGCCAACCCGCCCGGTCATTCAACCATAGCTAAGGGGGTATGTGTCATCACTGTTTTCTCCCTCTCTCTGCCCTCTCATGCCTCTTGCTGCTCTTGACTTATCCGGGACCGGTTGGATTAGGCTCCTAGGGAAGAGGATTCTTCATGCCTCTTTGCCCATAGGTCCCCTAACCTCTCTCAGAAACTCATATCATGACTCATTCGACCAGGGGTGCATATTTAAAAGGAAACTCTTTGCCATAGACTTTCTTCAATCTCAACAATTCACACGCTCTCGCCCTTTCCCAGAACAAAATCAATCATTCCTCGTTCGTCTCCCACCATCAAAGATCCCCACATTTTCAAAAGAGCAAGTTCTTATGCAAAGTAGCATTAGCTATCTAGTCCCTGTTTACTTCCCTAGTTCAAGGAGCAGCTCTGTTGCAGTTTTCCCAAAAAAAAGGAGACAAATTTGAATGCAAAAGTGACACACAGGCTTGTCTCATCTAGGTCCCCCCCTTCTTCCCTTCGCTCTCTTTAAACGAAACCAGCCCTTTATAGTCCTAGTCCCAAACGGATTGACTTCCACACCCTTTTTGAAGAAGCAACTACTTATGCGAAGTAGCACTAGCTGTCCAGTCCTTAGTCATTCCTTGCATGGAAAGTTATCTCATAGTAGTTTATTCCCAAAAAAAATCAAATGCGAAGCTTAAAATGACAGTTTTGCCAGTCTCAGGTACCAATCCTTCCCATTGTCTAGCTATTCCCTGTTGTGTCTACTGCCCCTTTACCGCCCAGTTGCCCAGTGCCGAGCCTCCCTTGCACGATTGTCGATCTCTTGCTGCATCTTTCTCTTCGTCCTTTGCAATTGTAGGAGCGCCTCTTCTGTGAAAAATGTTGTTGGCGCTATGTCCTCTCCTCTGCTCAGCTTCTCCTTTCCTCTCATCGCCCACTCATACCGCATGATACTGGCCCATTGATCGAACCGGTCACTGCAAGATGACCCGAACTCTCTTATCCATTTGTCCTTCTCTTCACCTGGGTCCTCATCCCTTCCGCGTACCTCTCTCGTGGGCGTTGTGACCTCATCATCCTCTTCCTCACTGCTGAGGTCTATGATCTCGTTGGGCTCTTCCTCTTCCATCCTCTGCCTCTTTCCTAGGTTCCCATCCTCCTCACTACTGGTGTCACTGTCAGATGGGAGAACTATTGGTTCCCCCTCTCTCACGGGAGAGGGTCCCCTGGTCCCTTGGTTCCTTCCTCCTCTTTTCACAACCAAGTTGAAGTCAAATTCCACATACAACATCCTTTTCCTGGAACTTGATTCCCCAGCCTGTCTTGTTGCTTGTTCCCCAGTAGGCCTGTTAATGGCATTGCTGTCGTTTTCATTTCTAAATTTCATCTTCCACCTTTTCCTGTTGCTTTCTCCTTCCCTGGTCCTGTTCATTCATAACAAGTCACAGCATCCCTCATGGACACACACTCCCTTCCACTCCCATTTGCGGGTTTTACACGCTTGCCCAGAACCCTTGCTTGCCCCATATGATCGGTAGTCCACCTAGGGTGGCGACATATGCGGCGGTCCCATTATCCCCTCCCCCAAAAACTTAGGCACATTGTCCCAGTCACATAGGCACCCCCTATAGGCGGTCCCCAAAATTGCCCCACAAAAACTATAGTACATTGTCCCAGCCACATAGGCGCCTCATATAGGCAGTCCCCCAAAATTGCCCCACAAAAACTATGGTACATTTTCCTAGGCTCCCAACCCCATTCATAATCAGCCCAAGCAGAGACCCCATGCGCCAAAGGAAAGAAGACACAAAAACGAACAACCCTTGCAGTCATGATCACTTCCGTGGGGAGGCGGTACAAAATTTTAGCCAGTTGCCTGTCTTTCAGGTTGTCAATTCCCCTGTTTCCTTATCCTGACCCTCCTGTAACCATTGCTGCACCGGATCTCTGCTAAAAAACCTGACCAGCCTCTGCCCCGGAAATTGCCCTTTCATCCCTGTACCATCGAGATCCTCAAGTTCAAACGTGTTCAATCCCACCCTCTTAGCGATCTTGTAGGGACCTTTGAACCTTCTTCCCAACTGTCCAAACCACGTGCTTTCAAGAACCGAGTTCCTAACTAGTACCTTCTCTCCCACCTCGAGCGGCTACTTCCGGATGTTCTTTACCTGGTCCCACCTTGCTTTGTCCCTCATTCGACTATCCATTACACGTTTAACCACATCCTCTAAGGCTTCCTCATTTCTAGCGACCTGTTGGCAACGTGCGATAATTAGTTCCTCCGTGGACATGTGCGGATTGTCATCTGGCCTGTTCTAGGTAGGAACCAGGGCTTCCACCGGGAAATCAATCTCCCTCCCATACCAGAGTTCTGCCGGAATGCATCCCGTCGTCCTTTTCGGCGTCATGTTCTCTGAGAAGACCGCCTGCTTAAGGTACCGAGACCAGTTCCCCAGGTCATCGGCCGCCAACTTAGCGATTGTGTTTTTCAAGGTTCGGTGCCCCCTTTCTACTGGTGCATTGGCCTCGGGGTGATACGGTTCGATGATCTTGATAGGTACGCACAACGCCTTAAGCCTGCCTAACACCTCCTGGTTGACGAAGTCCGTCCCATTGTTCGCTATGAACCTGCGCACGAAGGGGTGCCTAAGGTAGAAGTCTTATATCCAATCGGTCACTCTCTTTCTCGTCTTTCTCTTAAGAGCTACCGCCTCTACGTAGCCACTGAGGTTATCCCTTGCATCCAAGATGTACCTGTATCCATCCGTTGATATAGGCATGACCGCGAGGTCAAGGTGGACCAGGCGCCCCGGCCCCAGTACTCGGGTAGGTCTAAGGGGCTCGAAGACACGTGCGGAACTCCTTTCTTGGCATATCAGACACGTTTGACAGTACGTCGTCACCATACCTGTCATACCTGGCCAGAAGTAAAGTGGCGCGATTTTTGCAAGAGTCCCTTTGGATGACCGGTGCCCTCCGGCTAGCCCATCATGCATCGCCTGGATTATGTCCAACTGCCTAGACCTCCCGCACACAACTCGCCTAGGCATCATTCCTTCTTCTTTCTTGAACAGGTGACCGTTCCTCAAAACATAGTTCTCGACTTCCTCCCTTGCCTTGAGGCTGACTTACATAGGCTGCTTGTTTCCTATAAGCAGCAGACCGATTTCTCTAAAGATGTCATCATACATCTGTATAAGGAAGAATTCTCGTCCCTTCTGATCGGTGTCTTGCCCCTCCTGAGCCTGATTCATTAGATACTGCTGCTCTCTTCGCATCCAAGTTTCTACTGGATTCATCACAGCATCTCGGCCCCCTTCAACGACCATGGTCATCAACTTCTCTTTCGGCCCGGTCGTTGCCCCCCACAAATCCTTCTCATCTTTGCGCCTAATCGTGGTGACTGGTCCTTCCCTGAGTTCCGCAACTACTGCAGGCGCCCCCTTTTCCAAGGTCTGGATCAGCAACTGGGCTGTCGTAAGCGTGGCGCCCGCCATCTCGTTATCTACGACAAGGGTTCCCCCTTCGTATTCAAGGAAGGCGTCGATCGGTTCTGCATCCTCTACTCCCTCCGGCGTGATGCAAACCCGACTTAGCCCGTCTGCCCTGTTCCGGAGCCCCGCAATTCGCTCGACCTTGTAGTCGAATTGCCAAATAAATCCTATCCATCTCCCAACGGTCGGGTCTATAGGTTTGTAGTTCTTTAATGCCCCGACGACATTGGTCGGATCGATTCTCAGGATAAACCTTCTCCCGAATAGGTATGCCTGAAAAGTCTTAAGGCAATGTAAAATGGCTAAGACCTCTTTCTTGAACTGTGAGTACCGCCGCTCTGCCGAATTCAGGGTCCTGCTCTCAAATCTGATAGGCCTCTCCTTACCTTCCTCGCTCCTTTGTATCAGGACTCCACCTACTGCCAAAGGTCCCCCGTTTGTTTCCAAGATAAAGTGTCGTCCTACTTCATCATTGAAGCAGGGCGCTGCCAAGGTGACTTGGTTGGAAGACAAGACGTCTTTGAGGGTGTGGACTGCCACCTCCCTATCCTCGGTCCACTCCATGGTCCCTCCTTCCCTAATCATTGCGCGGATAGGCTCAGCTATCTTGGCAAACCCTTTAGTAAAGATCCTCTAGAATCCAACCACCCCTAGGAAGGCTCGTACTTCCGTCGTGGTGCGCAGGGGTGTTGGCCATCGAGAGATCTTATCCGTCTTTGCCGGGTCAGATTTCCTCTCATAGACCCCACAGCGAAACCCCAGTATAGTCACTTCTGGGATCGCCAGGATGCTCTTTGGTCCGCTTGCGGTGATATTTTTTATCAGGAATCGCTGGAGCAGATCCTTGATATCCTGTAGATGCTCCCAGACAAACTTTCGTATGTCCGACTGAACCTCTGTTTCATCCTTGTTCTGCGCGGCTTTTATGGGATTGTCATCTATGTAGGGTTCGCATTTTTCTAGGAACATGTCCCTTGCGACTGCAAGCATCCTCCTCTGTGCCTCCGCCATAGTGTTTGTGAAGCCCATAGGAGTCACTTGCATTTGCAGCTGACCTACAGGGGTGTGCATGGCAGTGTACGGTCTATCCCTTGCGTCGAGCGGTAGTTGGTCATATCCTGAGTATAGATCTATAAAGGATTAAATGCTTCGTCCGGCGTGAGACTCCGCCAGTAGGTCGGCCTGTGGAAGTGATCCCGCATCCCGAATCGTAACCGTATTCAACTTCTGCAAGTCCTGAATCCATCTGAGCGATTTGTTGGGCTTCCGAAAAACGAACCACTTGTTCGCGTAGGGGGATGCGGTGGGTTCGGCCACGAACGAATCTATCTTGGCTCTGAGCAATTCAGTGACTTCTATAGCTATTCCGAACTCGTAGGCGGGCCCCTTGTCATTCCAGCATTCGTGCTCCACCGTGTGGATCCTAACGAGGGAAATTAGCTTCGCATCCAATCGACCTTTCTGGTGGTCATTGAATGCGAAGGCTAGGTGAAATTTATGGGACGCCTTCCTTATCAACTGAGTCTCTTCCGCCGTTAGGAACCCTTCTACCCCTATCTTCATGGTATCCGCTATCTCATCAGGTATCTGGTGCCCTTCCGCTGCTCGCCTCTCCCTTATTATCCGCAGGATTTCTTCCTCCTTTTTCATGGCCTCTTCCCTTGATGTTTCTATTAGGATTGAGACCGGTTTGGCTTTCTTCCCTACGGGTTTGTACTTTCGCACACTCCCTTCTGGGATCGTTCTCCTAAAAAATGAATGGTCGGGATTGACCTTGCTACCTCCATGATACGGGTTGGATACTGACTAACTTCACATTCAGGCAATAACATTTTCGGACCTCATCTTCGAATTTGGCAAGCGTCGCTGGGTCCACTCCCACTTTGTGGTACCTTATAGCCTTAACGAGCTGTAACAAGTCTGGAATTTCAAGTACTACCTCTGACGTTTCCTTCCGGTCTTCCTTTGATTTGGGCAGGCTGGCCCCAAGCTCGACTTCCGCCTCCTTCTCTGCCACCATAACCCCTAGCACCTGATCCTCTTGCCTTCTCTTCTTCAGAGTTAAATTCATCTTGATTTACTCCTTGCTAAAGGCTTCCTCAATCATGATCTGTACTCTTTCCCGCATACCTTCCATCCGTGCGAATGCCCCCTTTCGCGCACTCTCTTTGAACTTTGGCGACCAGGTTGCCAATTTGCCCTTCGGGGGATCCCCTCCTGTCTCAAGGAGTCGGAGGAGTTCTCCCCGGCCGGTCACGGGGTCCTCTATATCCACCATGTATGTGCCATCATGCAGATGCATACCTATCATCTCTAAATAAGCGCACCATGGCCTCCCTAGAATTATGTCATGGTCCATTTCTTCCATCACGGTCATCCGCTGCAAGGACAAAATCGATTCTTTGATCCCTGCCCTGACTGCGCATTTCGTGACGTACCCTGCGAAGGGAATCTCCCAGCCCGCTTCCCGGATACTCCCCGCCACCTCCTTGTTTACGGTGCAGCCGGTAATTGTCACAAAGTCTCGTCGTATGAGGGTAATTTTCACACCACCGTCCACTAATGCATCCTTGTGGTGGGTTCCGATCTGGACCTTCAGCTTTCCTACGGGCAATGCATGGAAGCTAAGCTTCGTTCCGAGCGACGCCCTCATAACTTCTCCACCCTCTCGGTCCGGTAGGCTTAGGCGAATATCTGCAAAGGCCTTCTCTCGGTCCTCCGGATCCCCTGGGATCCTTTGGAGGTTGGAGACCCCTTGCGGTGTCCCAGCCTCTTCCGTTTCCTGCTCCTGTGGTTCCGGGGCCTCCTCTACCTCTACGCGTCGGCGCGTTAGTAATTGCCTGAGTCCTTTAAGCAATCTCGGGCTTGCCTGCAGCATGGTCTGAAAGGATACCGATACCATGATACCTAGCAGTTTGCTCAGAGTATCATCGATTTCTGGCAAGGTCAGGGTTGGGATTTGGTACCTGAGCTTCTTCTTTGCCGCCACGACTTTAACTATCGACTCTTCTTCCCTTGTCTTTCCAAAAACCTTTTCCTGTTCCCCGGTCTCAGTTTCACCTTGATCTGCGCTAGTCCCCGCGACCTCTTCCATTACCATATCTCTAATAAGTTTTTTTTCTACCCCTGCCCGACGGGTGGTGATGTTCACCCTATCTTGCCCATTACCTTCTAGGATAAAATTCACCTGTGGTCCGCGCCCCCTCGGCTGATCCCAAACAATGTCAGCTACCGGCTCAGCTTCTACGGCAACTATATCCAGATTGTTCAGGAGGGTGACGGCACGCCGCATTCCTCCTGGCGAATTCCAATTTATGCGCTCTCCCTGAGATCAGAAAATTTCACCCTTAAGGGACCTGCTGCATCTTTGCCTCATGATATCATGGTTGAGTCATGGGCAGGTCCGTACGAAATGTCCGACCATTGTGCAATACTTGCATTGCTCATTGGCCGGATCCCTTCTGCCATACCCTCGATTTGCTACTGCCGTCGGAACCACGACCTCTTGGGGCGGGAGGGCGGGTCGGGACACTTGCGCCTGCATTACTAATAGCGCATTTTCCACTCTTTCTATATTGTTATCAACCCCGTGCACCCGTTCGTGCAAGCTCTCTATCCCCTTCTTGACCTTGTCCCCCCCAACATCATAGTTTGGTAGGCTGGCTCCAGGTCTGTCCACGTTCCTTCTTCTGGGAGGACGACGGATACCCCTTCCTTTACGTCTATTGACATTTCCGGACCACTAGAATAGGTAGGAGACGAGAACCACCGCGCCATTCCGTTTTCTGGCTCCGGCCCTATTTTCATAGGAGAGCACCACACGGCCCCCTCTTGGTCAGACTGTCTCCCTGTCTAGATGAGAATTATTTCAGACCCCTCACCCGGGTCTCCCCAATTTTCCCTACCCATTTCCCCGGCATAATTGTCCCCATTGTACTCCCAATCGGTCATCACCAGTCGGCATTCCTTTTCTTGGTTCCTTTCCTTCCGACTTCAATCCATGCTTACTCACATCTTCTCTCACTCGTGCGGACTTAGATAGGGGGCGAGAATAGACTTAGAACTCAGTTCCGCTCCCAACATCCTCAAGCAAACTTTACAGAGGGAGACACAAAAGAAGAAATTCAGGCAAACTTTGCACACAGGCCGGTCATCTTCTCACCGGCCTTTTTCCAAAAGTGGTCTCTCCACTGTTACTTTCGGCAGAGCTTTATCTCGTACCTCAAGCACACCTCAACCGTCGCGAGCGCGGTACCCAGGCTCCGGCAAGGCGTTAGCCCTTTCCTTGTACCCAGAATAACCCATCCCGTATTGCCACTTTTGCACATCCATACCGACACCGAGGGTTACCCCGTGTGCCTAAATACAAGGACAAAAGTCAGCCGTCCGGGCATTCACTTCCATCGGTCCGACAAGAATCAGCCTTTCCCAAACCAAGCTACGAGAAGCTACTAATCGCCTCTGAGGCTCCCTCCTTGCCCCATACGCAGTGGTCCCCCTACCGTCTGCCGACAATTAACCGCCTCGCCTGAAGGCGTTTCGCACCCCGCCTGGGCAAGGTCATCGAGCCATGCTCGGACCGCCCGGGTGAGAATGTTACTAACCAGCCGACGAGACCAACTCTTGCCTGACAACCCGGTGGCCCGACCCCCGCGCACGGAACCCGGCGAACTTCAAAGAGAACGACTTTTTGCAACCCTCACCGACCGGTGCAAACCAATCCTTTCCTTCGGAAAGGCAGGACACTCGAATCCCCATCATGCAAGCACAAGTCCCAAGTGAGACACACATAACATAAGTGCCTTTCCCTTGGTGCACCCAGCAATTCCTACCCATAGCTTACGGTTTTTTCTTTCAGGACTGTGTGTGCCACTCACCCCTAATTTTCATATACTGTGTCCAGTTCCTTTTTGTGAGAATCTTCATAGGTGAGCTAGTTTTCTTTGGAGTCTAGCAGCTCCCTTCATTCCCTTATCTTCGCTTGTGTGTCCGTTCATAGGGCAGGATTGTTCCTTCTCGATTACCCGTTGTGTTCATATGAGGTTCCTTCAAGCATTTTAAGTGCGGTGCAAGGAGCTCGCTGGACTCCGAAGAAGAGAAGAGAAAGCACCCATGTTGGTCGGATCACTCCACCGTGGGATTTTCATGGGAACTCGGACTAGCCCGGAATCCCAACCGCCTGCCAGGTAACCGGAGCCCTTCTTTCACACGAAGTGGAAGGGTCGACCTGCGGCTTGCCCAAGGCTTCCTCGGCCTGACGAACATCAGCCCGAGGGAAGGAGGACTAGAGTCACCTCGCAAGGGAGATGGCTGATTATGTGTGCAACATGCATGTTACACCTCCGGGCCTGACCTTGCCATACACTCAGCCGCCCTCTAATCTGATTCTCTCAAGGGAGTAGAGCATACACAAGTCCTCGTTCCTTATCTTAATGTTGTCTTCGTGGACATGCGTCGGGCGCCCCCCTCGAGATCGTATGGGTCAGTTTAACCCATACCCGACACCTCCACCATTTTTGTAGGGGCAGTACCTTGAAGGACTTTCGAACCTAAGTCGACCCCACTGCGGGTCCCATTTGGCTCGACCCGCCCGCGCTCACACTCAGGGCGAGGGTCGTTCGTCCCAAGGGCACCCCCACCTAGTGCTATGAGATGGATGGGGATGGACCTTTTGCGAGAGGGCTTTACATTGGGGGATGTAGCTCCGCTCTCGCGTTAGATGGTAGCTCTTTGATCACTCATGGCATTTTCTCGACTCACGTAAGTGTGACCAGGCAATTGCTCCTTCCAATACACAGGCAGTCCAAGCAGTTCGTTGAGGATTTGTCTTCTTTCGTGTGTAGGTCAAGCGTCATCCATTGGGCCACACACCTTTTCACTAAGCACGACAATCTCTATGGCATCATCGGGGTGCGGTCGCGCCGTCCATGCCCCTAGTCCCTTGTATTTTTTTTGCTTGACAACCATCCTACCCGCATATCCGTTGTCGCCCTTAGTCTTTTCGGGCTTCCACATAGCACGCGGAGAATCAAAATACGCATCCATCACATAAGTCATCTTGAGCACGCGATCACCAAGTCCCACCCGCATCCATAGTTTACGCAAGGCCCATGTCCTTCCCTTGTCGTTTTTCCCCATTCCTGCCCGCATCCGGCAGACACAGTCGCGCTCAAACCATCCTAAGCTACTCACCTGAGCAATACCACACAAAGCAAAAACCAAGTACAATCCCCATTGGGGTCAATGCATCGCCCCTCCCACAAGTTCTCTTCTCTTCCCATGAACCTCATGGTTCTCTTTCCCTTCCCTCAAGCAAGCCATGCCTCTTCCTTAGTCATGCAGTCGGGGAAAATGATTGAGTCAAACTGACCTGGTCTCAAGCCTTTACTCCTTCAATCCTTTCATGAGATTCCTCCTTTCCAAGTTTTTCACAAAGATTCCGTTTTCCTTTCCTTCTTGGTGGCACAAGGGATCGACAACCCTCCCCTTGCCCTCTCTCTTCACCAAGTGAGGACCTAGGTCTTTTACCGTTCGTTCCCTGGCAAAGTAAAGGTTCGTCACGGGCTAAGAAGTGAGAGGAAGAGGGAAAAGGGAGTGAGCGCCGGGGGTC